GGGGGGGGGGAGGTGTGTGTTTGAAATGGATCATCCCTCCCTCCCTCCCCTTCCCCTTTCTGCTGCATCCAACCATCATCTGCCGTTTCATCTTCATTTCGCCCATGAAGTTTGAAATGATTTTTGCAATGAAAATGGATGGAGGTGCTTGTTTGTGTACGTGTGTGTGTGTGTGTGTGTGAGAGAGAGACAGAGAGTCTCTGAGTTCAGTAATGAAAGGCAACAAACTTTCGGTGTGGATCAAGTGGACACTAGTTAATAGAAATCCCAAAGTGGCTTTATTGATAACCTATAAGACAACTTTTCAAACTAAAATATCCTATTACGCTAGCGGGAAAATGACTTTTCTTTCTCCCTCTTAAAGCCACGGTCAATTCCCTCCCCCTCCCTGTCCAGCAATAAAATTTAATTTCAGATGTCTGGGTTTTCTTTCTTCCCTCCCAAACTAAGTCTCTTTTGGAAGAATCAATGGGTAAGAAAATTTATTATTAATTATACTCCAGTTTCATCACCCATACCTTCGAGGAAGGTGGATCCTGTAGAATAGTTTTAATGTAATTGTGTTTTGATCTATTGGCCTGTTTTAATTGAAATAAGAAGATACTAGGAATGTAGCGAATATGTTAAACTTCTTGATTGTTAGCCATCTTCTAAAGGTGGTTATCTGGCTATCTATCAATATAATGACCCTGAATGTGGAGGCTTTTAAGAAATCATGAAATCCAATTTTTATCAGATAGTTTTTAAACCTTTTAATATGGTCCTGTTGTCTTTTTAAGCTAGCAGCCTGTAGGAATAGTCACCTGTTAAAACGATGTACTTTTGAGCTGTGAGTAAAAAAAAAGGGTGAGGGGGAAGGACTCAGTTGAAGGGAAAAAAGGACAGAGCTTAACTTCTCTTGATTCAAAGTGCTGGTTTCTTTTCCAGTTGATATTCCAAGCACGTACCCCTGAGCTCAAAGCTCCTGCTTCCAAGAAATATTAATCTAAATTACTATTAATAAGGGACAGCTACAAGTTAATTGGCGTTAAAATAATTCATTTCAATTTGTTAAATATTAAATTAACAGATAAGACTTGCTTAAAATGTTCCGTCTTCCTTATTAGTTATGGGGATTAAAATTGTCTGAAGAAACCATTCCCTAAAAAAGGACGGGTGCGTGGTTGGTTGTTTCTTTTTTAAACCCAAGGTGGCAAGCAAAATGTAACACCCTGCTTCCACCCATGGAAAGATCTGTGTGTATTGATTGATTATGAACCCCTCTATTGGAAAAACCCACACAAGACATCAGTGAATTAGTGAAACACCCGAATGACTAGAAACTTGAGTAGAATTTAAGTGAGCCAATTTATTTCCAAATGGTTAATTATGGAATAGAATCCTTCCATTCATGCTTCATTCCCAAGCTCTCAGGTCCCTTGCCCCAGCTTTAAAGCTACCCCCTTTCTTCACCTATGGTCTGGCAGATTTGCACAAAACTAGCAAAGACTTAGGTGAATTTCCCCCACTTTTACATGTGTTAGGACCACTTGAAGGTCGAATAAAATATTTAAACCTTGTAGCCAGCCATTGATTTTTATGCAAGCACGTTCTGCTGGTGGAATTCATTAGGCTGAAATGATTCCCCACTCTTCAGATGGGTAAAAGGGCCGTCCCACACTCCATCTGCTTACGTCCTGTGGAGCCAAACAGAGGGGGGAAAAAAAGCATCTTGATTAATATTTACAAGGTCCTGTCTCTTTAATTCATTCAGCAGCACCCTCCCCTTGTTTGTCAACTGAAATCTGGATGCAGATGGCACCTGGGAAAGCGTGCGCTAGCAAAGGAAAGGGGGGATATGTGAATAAAACAAGAGTCTAGAGACGCATCTGCCTGGAGCACGCCAGGGCTGTGTTCACTGAATCCGAGGAGGGACTCAGCCAGGCCTACTCCAGGCCAATGCACCTGCTCGACTTCAAATGGTCCCCCCAGCTCGTCCGGAGGCAGCCAATCCAAACAGGCAGCCACCGTCAGTTCTCCAAGGAGTGGGGCTTTACCTTAGGAGACAGGCCTCCTCCACCAGCTACCTGCGATGGGGCAGATTTCAGGGCCACTGTGGGTTTGGGAAGCTCAGTGAAAGCTGAATTCTGTGAATGCGGCTACACAAGGCATGGTGTGTGTGTGTGTGTGTGTGTGTGTGTGTCTGTGTGTGTCTGTGTGTGTGTGCGCGCATGCAAAGTGGATTGGCAAATCCACAATTAACATATTCTCCTAGGAGAATTCAAAATATTTAAACGGCTAATAATCCCAAGAGTGGCCACATTCCAGACCTGTGTTTGACTCTAAATAAAGCCATGGAGGGCAGCGGGTGGGGGCAGGGGAGAAATGCATGATGGGAGCAAACTCTGCATCAAATACTTTCACTGGGACCTACTCCTGCCACCTTAATCCCTGGCCAATCACGCATGGAAGATGTCCGCTGTTATGAAGCGTGGGTGTGTTCTCTAATGTCCTTGGCCTTCCACAGAAACAAGGGGAGTTGTGCAAAGAAATAGCAACCGGACAACAAATTAACAGAAGCGTTCAAATCTCGCGAGGCTCCCTTCTCTCCTGAGACGTGTCGAGGAACCGAGCCTTCCCATGGGGAATACGGAGAGCGTTGACCCATGTTTTCTATACTGCTCCGCCACACTTTTTAATAATTAAGCGCAATATTTTAGGAGGGGTTGGATGCAGGGCCGACTTATCCATTAGGCACAGTAGGCACAGTGCCCAGGGCCCACCATACTTTTAGGGGCCCACGAAAATGTTTTAATTTCTTTTCAGATCAGAAGAAAAAAAAAAAGAACTTTTAGGGCCGAAGAAAATTTTTAAATTTTTTTCTCACATCAGGAAAAAAAATGAAACTTTTAGGGCCCACGAAAATCTATTAAATTTTGCCTAAAACAGGAAAAAAAATAAAATGGTGAAGTATTTAAAGTTATATCAAAAATAATTTTTAATATTGATATATCAGGGCTCGCCGAACCGCGGTGAGTCCCGCTCGCCAGCCCTGCTGTCCAGCGATCTGCACATGCGCAGATTGCCCGAACCCAGCTCTTCCGTGTTGCAATCTACTCGCCACAGGCAAGTAGATTGCATTATTTGTCGAGCCCTGGATATTATTATGGTGGGAGGGGCCCATGAAGGCAAAAGTGCCTAGGGCCCACGAAATGTGGCCTGGTTGGATGGTGACTGAGGGAGAAAGGAAGACGCCACCGGGGATTAACATGGGCTACGGATGTTTTGCAATATAAGATAACGTTTAGAAGTCAAAACAAATTACTCTGGCTTTGTTTTTAAAGTAAAAAAAATGCTTGAGGGGTTGGGTTTTTCGCCTCCGTTCCTGTTTCCAATGAACTTTCCTGGTTTTTTAAATTAATAAGTCATTTTAAAAAGCAGGTGTTTGTTTTGTGCTAGATGCTGTACAAATATCGGACAAAAAGATGGCCCCTCTCTCCCTCCCTCCAAATTGCTTGCAGTCTGAGATCCCAAACCTACACGCACGTCCTTCACTCGACCAATGTGAGTGGCTCTTTCCATGAGAACTGCCCATGGTAAGAAAATCAAGACCCTAAGTGTCAGGCAAGGTCAACACTACAGGGCGAGGAACTTTAAAAGCCACAACCCCCAAAAGAGCATCGCCTGGTATAATTTGTGACACTTCCCGGACACGCTTTGTGCCCCCAACATCATTTTTTATGTCATCTTCCATTTTCAACCAGGTGGTTCCACCAGTATCTAGCACAGACCGATTTGAGGTTTGCTGGCCTGAAGAATGAGGAATAGGAAGAAGGCTTCAGTCCTTTGGGGCGTTGGACGAAGGAAGATGCCCTGTGTCCAGCACGATGTTCTGATTGTCTAGTGGGTGCGTGGACGCGTTGGAGGAGGCTGGTGGAAAATTCAATGAGGAACTGACAAGGTTCTCTTCAGCTTTCCCCCTCTCACTGGGTGAATGGGTCTGCACTGAAAAACAATCGGTCTGTTTGGAGATTTTTATTATCCCTCAGGATTTCTGTCATTTCCTCTAGATGCAATTTTTGCTGTACATTCAGCTTCTCACTTCAGCGTAAGAGGCAACCTAGCTAGGGCAGCAGGGACCTGACTTACAGGCAGAGCAGGGACAAAACGTGGGTGTAAAGACACACAATCTAGGTTATTTATAGTGATAGAAATGTAGCCGTGTTAGTCTGG